TTTTCAATAAGCTTGCTTCACCAGTATTATTTTATTTCCTTATCAAGTTTGTAATAATTTTTGTTTTTCTAATCAAGTCTTGCTTTTAGAATATTTCAAGATAACTTTTAGACAAGTTGTTTTGCTGGTTTACTATTCAAAAATAATTTATTATATTAATGTGCTATTTCTATTAAAGGAAAGGTCTTATTTTAATATATATGTGTATATATATATATATATGTTTTTGCTTTTTTTTTAGGGACTACAAGAAATAACTTTGAAGGGGAAAAATGTCATTAGCTTAGAATATGGAGCCTATCTACCCATGGTGGAAAATGAAGATTTGTAGTGACATTAGGCAGAAATGGCCAAACATAGCAGTGTTCCATAGACTTGGGTATGATTTCCTTTATCAATTTAGAAGTTAAGTATACTTGTTTTCCATCTTTGTGCTGCTTCTGGTTCTTGAATCTTTCTTAAAAATTCAAAACTACCAGTAGGAAGGTGTGTATGTTATTTCTGGAGGATAGAAGGGATGGTCTCGGTGCTTTCAGTGACTGCTTGTTGGGTTGTAATATTGGGCAGGCTGATGTTGCTCTTGGTGCTGTAACAAAGTGCACATGTGCCAAGACTTTCAGGCCCTGGGCCTCAGGGGTGCTAAAGGCCTTGAGGCCTCTTGAGAGTTGTTTTGTTGTCTGGACTCTGTTCATATGACAGTCTGTTATAGATTATTTTTTATATAAATGCCTTTGAACATCATTAAAGTAGTTTGCTTTTTGTATCACTTATATGAGAAGAATTCTGGACTTTAAAAAGAAACCAACTATTTAGACATCATCTATCATATTCTATTAGTTATTATTTTGTGATTAATAACTATAAATTTATTAATAACCAGTAGTTTTATTAATGATTAATATCATCAGTCCTATTAATTAGCACTGATTGCTATTTTGTATTCTAAATTCTTTGTCATAATTGTCAGGTGTTATAACTTTGTACCTTTAGGCATTACTTTGCTTTGTGTCTTGTTTGAGGCAGATGTTTGCTGAGTCAATGAAAGGACTCCTCCATCTTCATGCCCATTAAATGGTTTAGTGGATAGATGCTGACAAACTAGACTCAACATCAGTCTCAGCATCTCCTCTGCTGAACATAACTGGGGTGAGTTAATGTTTTCTAACTGAATGGGATATTTAAGTAAAGTAGAACTACAGCATAGTTCTAAGAATGTGTAACTGTTTTTTTGTTGTTGTTGTTTGTTTTTTAAAATGTGCCTAGCAGATTATTTAACACATAGATTAGGAGGTGATGGTAATTTTTATTCTTCATCTTGTTAAAGCTTGGTTCCAGTGTCAGAAGCAAGCATAATCATTGCTGTGTCCTCAGTCCACAGGGCTGCATCTCTTGAAGCTGTGAGCTATGCCATTGATAATTTAAAAGCCAAGGTGCCCATTTGTAAAAAGGTAAGTTAAAAAAAAAATCTCATTTTGCCATGTGTTCCTGATGTTTTCTAGAAATTCTTAAATAAAGGATGTAGAGTAAGAGTGCATACAGAATTTGCATACATGGGTCTTTACTGACTATAAAATCTTGTTTTCTTTACCTGTGAAATAGGGCATTTATATAATATCGCTTTTCCAAGGTGAAATATGAAATATACATGCCCGAAAGAATGCATCACAATCCAGTAAGCCTCAGCAAAAGGTAACAGTAAGCATTTCTAGTCTGGAATGTACCAGGGATTTGCATATGGTGTCATTTCCCTCTGATTAGAATTCCTTTGAATTATATGGATTTTCTATCAGAGAGATAGAATATTGCCTAGTTATCTAGGCAATGGCTAAAATAGAAATTCTTCAAGGTAAGAGAGCCTTTTCCTAGATTTCTTGCTTTTTAGGGGAGAAAAAGGGGTGATATACTGCTGCCTCTGAGTAAATGCATTGTGAATGGAGTTAAAAACACAAATAGGAAGTTCTGGTTTTCTGTCAATAATTCAAACTGGTCAATAAGAACAAGTAATTCTCTGGTTAAATAGAAAATTCTAAAGGGACGAAAAGGCCCAACTCTCCAGTTTCTCCCCGGTGTAGCAACATTTGCAGTGGGCTTGTTCTGTACTTGCACAAGTGTGTAATTGCATTTCATCATCTAGAATTTCTCACAGCATGGAAGCTGACAGCAAAACTGAGTAATTATGATCAGCTCAGTAGATCAGAAGATCAGATCAGTGCTAGGGCTTTTAAAGTGTGAGTCTCTTCTCCTTCCCAGAGCTCTGTTGCCTCAGTCAGTGGTACAGATAAGAAGTTGGACTCTGAACCTGACCCAAGGCCTGGGAAATTTAGTGACCACATTTTCTGAATAACAATGGAAGCCAATAGTTATAAGGGAGCACTTTGGGACTAGAGAATAGAATATGTGAAGTAAAACTTCGTGATGAAACTCAGACATATGGTTGCTTTGCTAATAACAAGGCTGCCTCAATTTTGATAGAATAGGATGCATGTCCTGGAATAAGGAAAGTTTCTAAGCCTTCAAAGATGAGCTTCAAAGCTAGGTAGTAGGGGTAGCTTTCTTTACCAAGAGGAAAGAGTGGATAGTCAGCAGACAAAAGGTAGATGAGAGGGAGACCCAGAAAACAAGGGTAAGGGGCAGGAGTTTGGAATATTCCTTTTTAATGCTTTGAGAATTAACTGAGCTTTCCATTTGCTTTTCTCTGTTCATAGAGTATTGGAGGTGCCGGTGTTCAGAGGACAATTAAATTTGGATTCCTTTCCCTACAGAAATGAAATCTGCCTAGAGAAGGAGAGGAAAAAGTAAGACATTCTTCTTCCCCCTCCTTTCCACAAATTATCTAATCTTCTCTGGTTCTAGTCCTAGCTTGTGTGTTTTGAGATAATCTGTGATACAGGGAAGGGAATCTAAATTAGTTTTTTCATGGTTGCTAAAAGAAAAGACAAAAGACATTGTTAAAGTGTAAAGTTTATTTTATTTTATTTTAGAGTTGTGGGGTATATAGGAGGATTTCTCATAAGTAAATTGTGTGCAAGTGACGTTTGGGCTCCCCTAATAGTGGAACTCACACTCAGTGTGTAGTTATGTATCCCTTACCGCTCCTCCTTCCAAGAGCAGGCTTGGGCCTGGGCACTTGATAACTTTGCTGCAATGAGCCAAAACTCCTACCAACACCCTCATCTCTGAGGGAATGGGGACTGATTCTTTCAGGCTGCTTAGCTGGACATCCACCAGGTTCACAGCTGTATCTGGAGTTGAGAGGAGCCAAAAACGCTGTCAAGAAGCACATGTCCAGGAGCCAATGGCAGATGCTACCAACAGAGAGGACCGATGGGTTTGAAACCAACCAGGACATGCCACCACCTTGGCAGGGGATTAGATGACAACACCCAGGGCTCCTCTCTGAGTCAAGGCTGCCCCTAAAAGCTGCTGAAAACCAAGGTTTGTATTATGGAGGAACCTGCAAAGTAAAGGAACACCAGCCTGTCTCCTGGGCCACAGCACATCCGCCTTCAATCGATGCCCTAGAAGAAGCCTGAGACAGCCCACTGGGGCCTTCATACTGTCCCTGTGTCCTTTTGTGCTGGAACTATGACCTGCATGCATAGGAACCTGTCTGCTTTGAAGATCATTCCTTGTTTTGTTTTACTAAATTACCAGAAACATTTTTGGTGTGATTCTGAGTCTCACTCTGTTGCCCAGGCTGGAGTGCAGTGACACGCTGATGGCCACTGCAGTCTTGACCCTACTGTGCTCAGGCGATCCTTCCACCTCAGTCTTCCAAGTAGCTAGAACTATAGGCATGAACCACCACACCTGGCTAATTTAAAAAAATATATTTATTATACAGACGAGTTCTTGCCAAGTTGCCCAGGTTGGTCTGGAACCCTTGGGCTCAGCCAATCTGGTCACCTTCATCTGCCAAAGTGCTAGTATTACAAGCGTGATTCACCTCATCTGGCTAACATTTTTCAATTAGAAAGACTCCATGTATTGAAAATTTGCAAAGGAACTCTTCTTTGGGATCTACTCAAAATCATTATGGTTCTTCTGTTGAAATTGAACACAATGATGAAAGCATTTTCCTTAATCCCCACTTGTGGAATTGATGAGTTGATTTTAGTTGGGTAAGTCAAGATTAGAAGCCATAAAGCTGTACAGATACACCTGAAGCCAAAAGGGAGTAGAGACCTAGCTTACAGCTTTTTGTTTTATTTTGTTAATGATTGGGTCTCACTCTGTTGTCCAGGCTGGTGTGCAGTGGCATGATTGTGGTTCACTACTGCCTCAATTCCTAGGCACAAGTGATCCTCCCAACTTTGTCTCCCAAAAGGGTGGAATTACAGGTGTTAACTTCGCCCATCGTTAACAGTAACAACTACATCTTG